AACAAGAGCGAAACTCTGTCTCAAAAAAAAAAAAGAATTAAGTGCACTTACTGAAAAAAAAAAAAAAAAAAAAAAAAAAAAAGCTACCCAAGTGTTTGGCTACAAATTACTTCAATTAGAAACTCACAATTAGCTATCATGCACATGCAGTTATAATGATCGAAACATTTTCACGTGTAATTTATTTCCCGGCTTATCTCTACTTTACAGATGAGGAAGCTTGAGGCTCAGTAAAAGTTTACTCAAGATGACATAGCTAACAGTTAACAGTAACACATTTTACATCCTTGCCTCTTTATGGCAAGTATAGGGCTCTGGTGAGAATAAGACAAGTACCTCTAAAAATAAAAGTTCAGCAGCCTCCACTATTACTCTGTAATGACCAACTAATTTATTTTTCTTTTTTTTGTTGTTGTTGTTGTTTTATTTTTGTTGTTTGTGACCAACTAATTTAAAAGGAAAGGCTACTTGTAATAGCTCACACCTTAATCCCAGCACTTTGGGAGGCCAAGACAGGTGGATCGCTTGAACTCAGGAATTCAAAACCAGCCTGGGTTACATGGCAAAACCGTGTTTTTTTTTTTTTTTTTTTTTTAAATAAAAGCCAAAAAAACAGTATTCAGAGGTAAAATGGCGTATCTGCGACTTAATTTCAAATGATTCAGGGGAAAAATAGAAAATAAATGGAGCAACATGTAAACAACTGGTGAATCTAGGTAAAGGGCACACACATTATAATTATTATATTTGTAGGTTTGTCATTTTTTCAAAGAAAACTAAAAAACAGATTTCTGGAGACTAGATAAAAGTGTCGTGGGAGGGGAATTCTGAGGTGACAGCAACAATTTATTTCTTAGCTACAGTGGTGGTGGCCTGTGTCCATTTTATAATTATTTCTTTTTTCTTTTTTGTTTTTGAGAAGGAGTTTTGCTCCTGTTGCCCAGGCTAGAATGCAACAGTATGCTCTTGGCTCACTGCAACTTCCACCTCCCGGGTTCCAGCGATTCTCCTGCCTCAACCTCCTGAGCAGCTGGGATTACAGGTGTGCGCTACCACGCCCCGGCTAATTTTG